TAGAGAGAGAGAGAGAGAGAGAGAGAGAGAGAGAGAGAGAGAGAGAGAGAGAGAGAGAGAGAGAGAGAGAGAGAGAGAGAGAGAGAGAGATATGCGAGAAATACGTTTTGTCATGGTTAAATGATTCAAGTTATAGGCACACTAGGCCTAGGGGCAGGTCTACTGGTCTAACGTTACTATAATAAGCTTTCTCACGGATACATACAGGCACACGTTTACTAAGCGACATCAACAAATTTACGTACCATTGAAAGATACGATAACATTAATCTCTATTGTTCTGACATTGACACATCGGTTTGCTGTTTCACCACACACACATACACACACAGACACACACACACACACAGCCACTCACACACACACACAGACACACACACACGCAAACACACTCACACATACAGAGACACACACATAATATATATATTCATATACACACACGTGTGCGCACGCAGGCACGCACACATTATCCAGACACGCGCATACACGAACACACACACACACACACATGCAAACACACAGGCGCACACATACAAATAAACACATATACACACATACAAGCACGTACTCTCTCACACACTTTCTCCTACACATACATAAACATATTCTGAAAGTCTTGCTGTCGCAAGTGGGCCTGCTGTCGTATACATAACACGATGATCTTAAACCAGTCACAGCTAGCTTTGCCATGGCTGTCAACTTATCTAAAAGGAAGTGGCTTGCCCAAGTAATACTACACTCCCTAAAGATCTTGACTTTCTTGATATTACGCTCCGAAGGAGAGAAACAATCCCTATGTTTGGAATCAAGGCAGGTGGAAGAGTGGGACTTACTATTTTGCAGGTGTAATGCAGATATGAGTAGAATATAAGTTGATCTTCAATTTTTTCTGGGTGGTGGCCTAACGGTCTACTCATTAAAAGTAAAAGTAGTCATCCTCTTCATTCTGGTCATAAGTGTATATGGGTGTGTGTGTGTGTGTGTTTGAGTGTGCTTGTGTTTGTTTGTTTGTTTGTGTGTGTGTGTGTGTGTGTGTGTGTGTGCGTGATTCAGTGTTGTTTGTGCGTTTAAAAGAAAATACATGCACACAAACAGAGAGAGAGAGAGAGAGAGATAGAGAGAGAGAGTGAGAGAGAGAGAGAGAGAGAGAGAGAGAGAGAGAGAGAGAGAGAGAGTCCCACCTTCTCATTAGCAAATCGAACAATCAGCTTCTACAGAAACAGACCCACACATTGTTATTATAGTTCTTTATTATGTTTGTTTCAGATGTTTCTGATATGATTGCGGTCACTCTGCCGGTTGTGGCAAAGATAACAAGCCAGTGAGGAGTACAGTTTGAACTACCTGTTTGCTTCTGAAACTGATCTACTAGGATGACGTCAAAACTATCCAGCCCGTCTCTCCCCCCATGCCGAGTGTGTGGTGAGGCGGCGACTGGGTTCCACTACGGTGTCAATACGTGCGGAGGATGCAAAGGTTTTTTTGGGCGTAACTTGATGCGAAGCGACGCCCTTGAGTGTGTAGGTAAAGGACAATGCGAGGTAGTCGCGCAAGGAAAGAGGAAAAGGGTGTGCCAAAAATGTCGCTTCGAGAAGTGTCTGAGGGTGGGCATGTCAAAAGACGCAATCAAGACTGGGAGATATTCGTACATCAAGAAAACCCAGGATACCCTCGAGCTTCAAAAACATTTGGCCAAGAGTGGCAAAGAAGCTCAAGACATGGATTTTGTGTTGCTGGGAAGCACAAAAAATGGGACCCCGAATAGTTTTAATAAATCCGAAACAAGTAGATCTAGCGACTCGAGCCCTGTTGATACGGCTGCCACTACAGATAAATACGTCAACAGTAATGAAATGCATGACGTGTCAAGTGATCAGAGCAACTTCATGCCCACCCATGGCATGGTAGACAACTTTCCAAGGAATGCAGAGTTGTTAAGTCATGCCACATGGTCGCCTAGCTACTTGACAGGAGCATCCCAAGATCTGTTGGCAGAACGAGAATATAGCCCGTCTTCTCTCCCAGAGGCCATTACTGTCGACCATGAAACAAATAACGAATATTTTCCAGAAAGTCATCATGATTCTGAACCTTTCCAGCCTCGAAAACAATTTAGAGACCAACACCAGCCTGAAAGTGATGAATCAGAGATCTATTTTGCTTCTGAAAAACAAAACCTTTACTTTTCAGAAACACCGTCACCAATGGCACCACATGTAGTAACGCCGGTAGGCATTGCTGACTCTGACTTAATGGACTTTGATGCACACCATGGTTCTCTTTGGAGCTCCAATCCCAATTCTCCGTTTGGGGTCAAGACAGATGAACAGGGCTACAATTATCCTCTTGCTGATAAACTGAGCTCATTTTTGTCATCAACCTCCAGACTTCCGCAATTTTCAACATCTGAAAACAACCTTGCCAAGACCCCGTCTCAGGTTTTTGGAACATCTCACGTGATAGAAAACCTCACGGACATGACACATAGCGGTGCCCAGGAAATAACTTCAAACAATTTTGCTTCTATGTCACCTCACAACGAATCAACTACAGTCCCACACTGCTTTAATGACAACTTCTCTTTATGGGTGGAACATAATTCTCCTGGTAATTGTAACGATTTCCTTGGAGCAACGTTAGACGAGAAAATCGACGACTGTCCTTTGAATCTTACTTCTCCGAAACAGAAAGATCCCCCGGACACCACGAGTGGCTATTCCGTTGACTCTCCGCCGGTCAACGCTCCTTTTCCTTCCTCGAGGTCGTGCTCTCTCCAATGCCCGCCTTCCTTGACCTCTACCTCGAATGCGTTATCTTCAGGTTCGTCGTCTCCATCAGCATACTCCCCTTCTCCACCACAGTCATCCTCCTCGCCGTCGCCATGCATGTCATCGATCTTATCAAAAAGTGTCGTTCAGGAGAAAACTGAATACAACACCGACGTAGAAGATTTTACCAGTTCTTTTGACACTTCCGACTGCTCTATGCTTTTTTCCCGTCTCTTTGTCCGCGAAATGACAGAGCTCCTTCCTAATGTGGTAGAGGACGGAACCCATCTCTCAATGGTGCCCGTGAAAAGGAGAAATTGCATATCGTTCCTGGTTCAGCTGAAAAAGCCTGGCGTATGCGCCACTTTCTATTCGCCCCCTACTGGCAATCCTGATCCTTCCAGGGCCGAGACGCTGACCGTAGATGCTCTCAGGTCTGTGTCGGCGAAGAAAGCGGATGTCCCCGAGTTTGAGTCCGATTTCTCCGAGGAGGAGCTAATGGAGCTAATTGAGAGCATAGTTGAATCGCACAGTACGCATGTGAAGGTAAGTCTTACCACCTTAATTGACTCACCACGGATCATGCTTTTCAAAAAATGGTGTCTCCATCTAGGTTGCTGATTCGGCTTAAAGATTTTTAAATGTCTTGTATATCCACGTGTTATGATACCATTATAAAAATATGTCCTGGTATTTTGTCTATCAACTTTTCTCAGTACGAAAGAGCCGTTTTCGGTTATGGTGCTATGTTTAAATGGCTAGCAAACATTCTTTTTCCGGAATATACATATATAGCTTTATGTATGATTTACATGTCGTGTTCTATCATGGTGCAAGGCAGTTCGATCGGTTTTCATCTGTATCTTTTGAACAAGTACAAGTATACTTGGCTAGAGACACTTTTCAGCTCGTATAAACATCAAACGTTGCAATCTAAAAGAGCCTTAGTTTCCCATCTTGAAGTATTAAGTCGTTCTGGTTGGCAAAAATATTAGAACAGCTTGGGAACTTTTGTTTCGATGTGTGTGTGAGTTTGTTTGTTTGTTTGTTTGTGTTTGTGAGTGTGTGAGAGAATGTATGTGAGTGTGTCTGTGTGTGTGTGTGTGTGTGTGTGTGTGTGTGTGTGTGTGTGTGTGTGTGTTTGTTTTTGGTTTTTGGGGGGTGAAAGGGGAGGTGGTTGGGAGGAAGTGTGTGGCTTGGCTATATTTTTTAATTAAAATTTTAGGTGGTGAAGGGAAGTAATGCAAAAGAGGAAATAGATGCAACATGAATATAAGTTGTGTTCTTAATAAAAAAAAAATATCTCACTTAAATTCAGCGCATCGTGTAAATCATAAAAGTGACTACAGTGCGTGAGCAGAAACCGGTCTTCAGTTACGGTGAATAAATGATCCAAAGATCAAAATATCTAAAGATAGTTTTTGGAAAATAAAATAAAGGGGCATGGGTTTGTTTTGGAAATAGGGGAGAAAAAGGGCGGG